CAATTGGCAGACTAAATATATGGTGGTTTATACACGAGTGACATCTTCAGGAAAAGACAACGATGACAATCAGTGGTTAAACTATGTAACCATGGAAATGGACTGTATCTATTATATCTTGTAAACTTTTCATGAAAAGTATTGTTAGCATCTAAAAAAAGGCCATAACAAATTGATTATTTCTATGACTGATGTGAGAAGCACAAAATTAACAAATGTTACATACTAAGTATGAATTAATTTAGAGAATCAAAGTAATTTCTTTAATACAGATCACTCATTGTTGATATCATACACACCAACCCTCTGTAGAACCAATGACAACGGACAAATTGGTTCAAAATAATGCCTAAAATCAGTTAACTACAATCCAGTTCTATAAAATGTGGAACAAACACATTAAAAACCGAGAATGCTAAAAACTATAAAATACATTGTGCATAATTAAAAAATAATCTTCACTAAAGGTATTTTAAACATACTCATAATTAAAGGTGTGGTGATACGAGTATCGTATCTTGAAGCTGTGATACGATTGTATCCATACATTGTCCAATTCAATGATTTATGTATCTTCATGAAATATGGCAAGCTTTCAGTATACATTATAAGTCTTTTGTAGAGAAAACATCAGAATTTCTAATAAAGTATTTTTGCTAAAATTTAATGATCCAATAAAGGAAGATGAGTATTGAGTACTACATGTTGTCTTCATTTATTTTAACAAAAACATTACATGCAAAGTAACATAACAAATTAACAATAACACAATAGATACAGATATTAACTTTTTTTATTTTACTTCTCTTGCCAGCTGTCATTCAGTTGATCAAACCTGATCATTTGAAAAAAAGTACTGTAAAATGTGAAGTACTTAAACAAGACAATGTTAGTAATATAGATAATAAATTACAGATAAGACTGTCAAACTTTGTTACAAACCGTTGGTAAAACTTTTGTATCTAGACACGTATCGTATCGCAGCATCAATATCTAGATACGTATCATATTGACTATGATGATGAGATATGCACCCCCTACTTATAATAAAGATATTTTCAAAACTGATATTCCAAAAGCTTCTGAGGCATTTGTTTTTACTGACTGTAAACTATTTTGTTTGGTCAAAAATATCTAATCATAGATAAGTTGTTAGTTTTGAAAATGAAAATAATAGTTACTTTAAATGTTTAAAGACCAATCGAAATATTATGATGCTAATGGTTTTAATGTATACTCAAGTTGTGCAAGGTCAGGTAAGAATACTAAACTGTTGTGTTCATTTTCCAAGTTTCTGATGTAAACAGGAGTTTTATGATACTAATGTATACTCAAGTTGTGCAAGGTCAGGTAAGAATACTAAACTGTTGTGTTCATTTTCCAAGTTTCTGATGCAAACAGGAGTTTTAATGATACTAATGGTTTATATACAGATACAATACTTAATTGTTCATTTCAATGTTATCTAAACTTCATTTTCTAAAATATCGTTTGGATTTCTACAAAAATATTTTGTTGCACCTTGATTTATTGATGATGGTATATGTGTATTATAAAACATGCAACACATGCAAACATTTTTTTTACCTTACTACTGTTTTTGTCTTCATTATTAGACTTAACTTCCTCCATTAGGAACCTAAACAAAAGTTGTAAATATATGTACATCTATCCAAATGCTACAACATTTCAGAGTTCTGATATTAACAGAGATTGTATGAGGATATATTTTTGTGAAGTTAAATATTTTTTATCTTCATTCATATTTTGATATAATGACTGCGAGAAAATTTCAGCAAGAAAAGTAATAGGTTAAATATTTTCGTATTCACAAGAAACATTTATTAAGATAAAATGTTGTGACATAGCTTAGATATGCTCATACTCCATTTCATTTTTGCTCAACAGTGCTAACATTTTCCAAAGATGTTAACATTCTAGTTGGTGAAACATGGAATACAAATAAATCCTACCATAATTCTACCTTCATGAAATCTTCTTGTACACCGTTTTCTGTACCCAACATAATTATGCACGTAAATTTAGCAATTACGACCCACTCTTAAACAAAACATTCTTTAACCTCATGAGCACAGTTTGGGGTCAAAGTGTGCATGACACGACCTTTTACACAGTTCCATTTAACGTGGTATTATGTAGTTGATATCAAAGCTATCAACTAATCATTTTACTCGACAATGCTGATTTAGCAACAATTCAGGATATAGTAAATAACAGATGTAATATACAGAGAAACTGAAAAAAACTGTACATATGCATTTGAGATTCTAGAGGTTATGTAAATGCAATATGTAAACTATATAATGTTAAAAAGTATTTTTATTCTTCACATGAATGCCACCATGCACTTCAATTTGTCAGAGTCCAAGTCAGACTGACGTCGTCAAATCGCAGACATACTAATACTTTTGTAAGAAATCTGATTTAAATGTATAACAGACTTGTACATTTACTAAAAGCTTTCCACATTTCATGTTGAAACACATAGTAAGTTCAGAGGTACAGTCTACAATCCTTCTCTACTACAGGGTTGGTCCATGTACATTCATTGAAAAAAAAGAGAAGAGTATCCAGAACGTATGTGGATGTTTATCATTTTTACTTATGGCCATCACAGGTCTAATACCATTGCTGTTATTCTAAATATTGATAATATTAATAATTATGAACCTTCTCTATACGAGTTTTATGAAACAACATATCTACTTTTTCCCAATGTATTCCATTTCTCACTAATTTTTTATTTTGATAGACTTGAGTACAAGTTTATTTCAAAACAACCAACCTGTCTAAATACATGAAATCTAATGTTACATAAGTTCCTGTCACTCTATATTATTTAAAACTTAATCTAACCATCAAGCCTGAGGTATTTCCTTCACATTTGGTCTAACAAACTATTTGGACTTTACAGTTGCACTGACTCTGAGATGTTTATTTCATTATTCTATAATAAAACGAGACGACACTTGCTTATATCTAAGGTCCACATGTAATAAGACTAATATTATTGTAATTGTACTTTGCCAACTAAACGAAAGAGTCACCCAGTCATCTATTTTTACCAAGCAACAAAATTGTTTGATGGTAAGTTTCAAGCGAGTTCTTCAATCATGAAGTGAGTATGTGTCAAAATGGTAAAGACCTCATGGTTAAATTGGTAAACTCTGCACACAATGCAAGCAAAGCATAAATGAAACATACTGTATTATTTTATTACTAGTGTGTAAAATACTTGATTTTAAATTGTTTTAACATTTAAAGGTCTTTCAAGAATGGGAATCAGGATTGTCCTTTACCATCACTAACGTAAGAGAAGACGTTATCGAGTATTGGTTTTCTTTGAATTATTTGTATCAGCTAATCAGAGAAAACAGAGGATGTATCTAGACCAATAACTTATTACAATCTTCCTGAAATAACATCCATAACATATTTGATCTGTTAGTTAGAAATGTATGTGAGTGATGAATGCCTTTATCCTTTTAGGCATAAGTTTTCCAAACAATGAGAAAAAGATACTATTCTATATTTCTTGTTTCTAAATTAAAAACTACATTGTCAAGCATGAGATTGGGCAAGGTAAAAAAAGAAGTGAAAAGCCATGATATCTGTAGCCCTTGGGAAGGGGACAAAGACCCCCCTGAAGCTCCTACATTTTCAATAAATTAGAAGATAAATGAATAGCTAAAAAAATGAAAAACACACACATATATATATATATATATATATATTCGGATG